CACTTGGATGGAATTATTCAACTTTTTCATATTAGTGTGATGGACTAGAATGAAACAAATCAAATATATTCTAAAATTAAAATACAAGTTCTGAAGATGCTAGTTTCTACAGGACTAAATACAAGAACAAAACTCTGTCTTCTATTTAATGCTGATACTTTGCAATATAAATCTTATGAACGATTAAATAATTTCAATACTGTTTCTCAGTCTTAGATTAATTTTAAGTTCCAGTTTTATAGCAACCACGGAAAGAATCACCATTCTACTCAACTGCAAATGACAGCTTTCTTTTTGAGGCAAGATCTAACATTGTTACAGCCTAGTGCATAAATGTCTAATTTTTAACAAGTGTTGTGGCAAAAGTTTTGAAACCCATTAACAAAAAGAAAAGTCTGAATTACTGCATACACTTGACAGGTAAGAAACCAAAGTGTGAGCTTTTGAAAATATTCATCCTCCTAATCAACCTTCAAGACAGTAATGGATCCAAGTCCAGAATATCCTTATTCAGAAATAACGGTCGGCATATGTCAAACAGGGTCAGGGATGTGGTGGCACACAGTCCAGTAGAATGTTTTGGAGAAACACAATGCCTCCACCAAAGACAAGCCAAGCAACATCTTTCTAACCTTAAAGATGGAGGCAGTACATTCCTCTGAATCATTAGTAAACTTGTACCAGACTAGACAGCACCTCATCCCAGCAGCAGTATTCTTCATAGTCACTGGCATCAGAACCTCAGATCCAACACACATGTTCTTAAGTCTTCTCGGGCAGTCAGCCCTGTCAGTGTTCAACTAGAAACCAATGTTTCAGAGATCTCCTACATCACCATGGTGAATGACCATAATGACGGTCCTTCACCACACCGACCCTTATGATGGAGACCGACAAGATCTCTTAAGTTTCGGTTTTTAGTTCAACGCTGACAGGGCTGACTGCCTGATAAGATTTTAGCACATTTATTCACAATGAAAGCTTCAGATCTTACATAAATGTCCTTTCTTTCTACTAACTGGAACACACAGATGACTTCTAAATGTCATCATGATTACAGATGCCCATTTCTAAAAGTAAAGCATTTCATAAACAAGATGTATAAACATTTCATTCCTTAGGTTTGAATTTATGTTTACATTACTGTTTAAACACCTAAACAGACAAATTTTCTGAGAACGAAAAAGAAAGCACAGGAAATGGAAAAGCACAAAGAAGAGGAAGAGGAGTAACTGGTGACACAAATACAAGCTTCAAGAAACATACACAAATGGAAAATACTTTGTTCCTCCCAATTTGCCCTTATATGTTGACCTGAGGATCAAAATGTTTGCATTGCCATAGTATAAACAATTCACTGTGAAACGTGGCTGTTTACTTACCCAGCAATCTATGACTAATGGAACAAGTAATTCCATATTAAGCCATATATTGAAGAAGTCTTGTGTTGTTTTCTCACATAAATAATGAACAACTTCTTCCTTGTGAAGTTTTGCCTCAACCTGACTGCCGCCATCTCCAGGAACTGAAATGTAAAAATCAAAAAGAATAAACAGAATAGACCAAACTCCATGATTTTAGTCCGCAAGTGAACCAAATGATATGGTAAATACTGAATTGTTAAAAGACCAGCAAAAAAGCATGTTAAAAAATGTACAGCTCCATTTATTCTTCTCAGCCTCATGTTTGTGTGTGTGGTGGGTTTGAGCAAGTTCACATTCCAATATTACTTCACAAAAGAGTGTTAGGTTGTGTCCCAGCTATTGACACAAGTTTGCACTGCTGACACTGCCAAGTTGTGACACTAATGTACAGAAAAACATCTGGCTACTTTAAAATGCTGCTTATTCAAAACAAACTGCAAGGCAAAGTTATTCATAGCTAATGACAAGAGACTATGGCCAGCGGACACAAATTTGTGAAAATGGAGGCTGGTGCAGAGTTTCCACAAACCTCAATAAAACTCAGATAAGAGTAGTAGGGATAACAGGAGTACTGGAGAAGTATGTGAAAAGTACAATGAAAGAAATGAAGATCAATCATCCAATGCATTCATTCATTCTCAACTCCTCATAGAGACTTGCACAATCTTCTAAATCAATGCTGGACAGCATTAATGGAAGTGTTATATACAGGACTGTTAATGACTTTTATGCCACCATCAAATAGAGAACAGTGCTGAAGAAAATTCACATGAAGTTGGTACAGTTTATAGTGAGCCTATCAACTTTAAGAAAAGCACTAAAGAGGTTAGATTTTATATGAACAAAAACAGAGGATAATCAATGAATCCTCATGAAGAACCACAGTTTCAGAGCTTTGAGAATATCATATTTAAGGATCAAGGCAAAGTATAGATGTGAAGGTACATGTATAGTTTTCACGGATGAGACAAACATCCATGGCTCTCAATCAGTGCCATTTAATTGGAGTAATAATTCTATCAGTGGCCTGCTAGTTTTTGTCTTTAAAGGGCAATGGCTGATTATAATACAAGATGTGACAATTTAATTCCCGGAATGACCACAGCATGTTGCTGGGGTGTTTAGTCAGTCATACTCATATGTTCCAACTTGCATTTACATGAGCCACAGACCAAACCAATCATTCATTCCCAAGCAGCAGAAGCAAAAATTAATTTCCTAAGGACTATGGTACATTCTACAGTGGATTGCAAAGAAATGAAGAACTTACGTCTGAGTTAAAAATTTCACATTAACAAACCTTATACAATACAGAAGGGATTAGAAAGAATTTACTTGTAAGATGAACTCTTGAGAAGGATTCCAAAAGATCCTGCTTTTTAATATTCATATCAGATCTCAACATGCACAATAAGGAAAATGATGATAATGAATAACTTTACAACACAATGAACACATATACCTGCCAGTAAATTTTAGATTTACTTACAATTATTTAACTTAGCAGAGTGCTGTAAGTTACCAAGTCTCAATAACTCATGAAAGAATTTGGGATTTTAGGTTATTAGACTTGACGAACAATTCTAACTGTAAATACACTCTGTTAGGGCCTTCTTTAAACTATGACAACATGAAAATACTTTCTTTTGAAGCATTACTACTAATCTTACCTAAAATGATGGGCGTTAATGTATTCCTCTTTACTACGAATATCGCTGATGATTTGCCTACTAAAATACTAAGTAATAATATATACAAACACTTCATAAATTCTGTAGGCATGTTTAAAGCAACTGGCTTCAAACTGGCGTTAATGCATTACACAGAAGAACTGATTTCTCCACTTCTTTGTTCACTACATACAAATGTAAATAGCACAATGACCTCATACGCAGTAGAGAACCTTTGACTTCAGTGTTGCCATTTCCTAACCACACGCATATCGAAATTATATTACTAAACTTAGGAATATGATATTTAACGCTTAATCGGTTCCAGATAACAAAAGAATTACACAGCATTGACGAGAGTTCAATTTGACAACTGCAATATGGCGGCCTTTATCACATGACAACCAGCAGTTCTGAAAGTGACCAATGGCATGCAAGTATAATGGTACCCGTTACTCTCTCAGCCAATGAAATGTTTATATCGATCACGCGGTATATCTCCGCACTAGGGATGTATTTGTTTAATGATGTATAAGTTCATATGTGATGAAAGGTCAGGAAAAGCACGCAAGTGAACTGTGATATTTCGTTAAAAATTTTATAACCTTTGTTCTACGTTCTTAATTTACGGCAAAAGTGTATCTATAATGAGTACAGTTGCCCATGTGATCAATCAATTAAGCATAATGTCATAAAGATTGTGATGGTTGAGGGATGGGTGGGTGAACAGTGGCGTTCGTAAATTCATGTTAACCACTGTTACGGATGTGTAATAGTGATTGCGTCATTTGTCATGTACACACCGTGTGCCATGAATTGTGAGACATGGGGAAGCTGCTGATAGCTTGGTTTGTTGTCGCCTGTGCATAAACTACCGCCAGTAGGTTTCTGCAGAGAAGCAGTGGTTCATGCAGAATACTTGGGAAACACACTACATTCACCATCTACCCTGCATGGTACTTGCCTGAGCCTTTGGGGAAGGAAACTGGCAACTGCAACCCAACCGTAGTTTCCTAGAATCGTTATCAGCATGAGTTCAACACATGTTACTGAATGGAGCGGCGTAAATTGAGTAGCAGTTTACTGAATTTATTCTGCTCCATTCAGTAATAAGTGTTCAATTCAGGCTGGTAACAATTCTCGGAAATTGCGGCTGCCAGTTTCCTTGATGTGCCGGGCCCCATGTTCCCAATGTCGTCTATCAGACATGCATTCATAATTTCGTCTTACAATAGCGGTACATGTCACTGAATAGAATGCTAGAGGATATGATCAGACATATGCGGTGTATCTAAACGAATGCGTTCATTTATACCACTATAAAGGGCTCAACTCCATAATAAAACATGACTACAAAATAGGATAAATTACATCCCAAAAATAATCTGATCGCTTACAGCAAGACCACACCCGAGATCTTTCTTTCGCACCTTTTCTGGACATTGATTTTGTACTGCATAAATACACATTTATCAGTTAGCCAGTTATTTAATTCTTACTGACAAACATAACTCTTGATTTTTTTCATTTGCAGTTTTCGAGAAGGTTTGGAAGATGATCTTCCAACGGCTATCCAGTCGCCACAGCGCTAGTTAACAGTCGGAACATGCAACCATTTCGATAGGAAAGTAAGACTGAAGGTCGCAGTGCGAGGGCCGGATTTTATAGCCCACTCCTTACTCACATACATACAGTGGCCTTTCGGCGTGAATCATACTGGTTCATCTAATTAAATGGGGATGTATGGGGAGCTGGGGGTATAACCCCATAATTCTTAAACCTTGGCACTAGGAGGTGAGTTGTCAGCTTCACGCCCCCTATCGCTTTACCCCTTTGCGGTACTCATTGGACAGCAGGTTGGATGGGTCCCAGAGTCAGTCTGGATCAGGTCTAGATGATGAGAAAGTTACCCTTGATAGGAATAGCACCCCAGCCGTCAAGCCCGTCGCTATCGTCGCTATAACTGGGCTATCCCGGCCTTTTTCTCTGAGCAACAGTAACATGAAAGTCTTTTAAGGCACATTCTGGTTATCTCACATAAAAATTCAATACCAAGTTACCGAATAGTAGTCGTACCATGCACCTGCATACATTGGAGGCGCATGATGTCACGCATACTGGTACCCGCATCGCCCGCGTCTGTGCTCGCCCGTGCCAGACTCCTACCATTCACGCACATTTGCATTTGTCCATAATTTTATGGTGACCACAGGTTACTGTTATCCGTGCAGGTTATCGTTGATCCGTTCGGCAACAGCTGGAACGGAAAACAGCTATGGCGGATATGAAACAAGACTTGAAGTCAGTTGATGACCAGCAAAACTATTCGATCGGTAATAGCAGTGATCCCAAGAATATGCAAGAGTTAACACAACATGTAAGTAACAAAACACCGTGTATAAAAGCCAAATGAGAAGGTTTGGGCCTAATTACCTGGGCAGTGCCAGTGGTCTTCAGACAGTAACATACCGTTGGTATTTAAGTGTATTAGTGATTACGGTTTAGTAATATGTATGAAATGTCATTATGACTTTCCAGATAAATGTTATATACATATTCGGTGGGTTGGGGGTTGGGTACTTGCGGATTGTAATATGCTTTTACCCATACTTGTATAAATACAAGTCACAATTGTTTTTACTACAGTATACCCCTTATGGGTACAGTTCACTTGCGGTCTAAAGGCCACAGAGTTACATCCATTTCAGGGTAAAAATAAGCAGGATTGTTTAATATAACACTTAATGCATGTTTGCATGTATGGGTCATGGTAATTAGAATAGCAAAAATTTGTTGCACAGTATTCTGATATCATGACTAAAATATGAAGAGATAATTAAATTTTTATAAATTCTGTAGTGTAAGTATTTTTTATATCAGTGGTGTTTGTTTTATTTTAGGTTCAGACATTACTCCAAGGCATACAGGACAAGTTTCAGACAATGTCAGATCAGATCATTACAAGAAATATCCTTTTTTGTCAGTAGTTTTATTATGTGTTAATGTCTCTTAAGGTGAGATTAAGTATTTTAATGTTCTGTCCTGTAACTTATACAGTTTGCCTACCCAGCAATAATGTGTACATGTACAGAGACCAATATTTTGCTGTGCCAGAGAACAGAAATAGTCATGTATTTGTTGAGTGTTGATTGTTTATGCATCCAGGTTAGACATTTGGTCATCTTGGCCTCTGTCCATCAGGCTAGGGTGAAGATAAAAATCCTCATTTCTTTTAGACGGGAGAACCTGTCATGTAGGATTTCCATTTTGCATCCAATGATAGGATTATAGCAGCGAGAAAATGTAACCTAGCATGGTATCCAAACAATATTGAGGACCTGGTATTGCCAAAATACACAAAGTTTTGACTATGTTAAAAGTGAGGAAAGAGAAGGATCTAGCTGGTATCAAAGTCAGAACCTACTTTAAGTTGCACTTAGAGAATTAATCTGGATTACTGTGCAGGGATTGATGTACTGTAATGGAATGTTTTATAACCAACCCCAACTCCAGTACAACAGAAGACTATAGTGTTTGATACTAGCACTTACATAAGGGGGTAAACTCACAGAACAGAATTTGAGCTCACTTAATCTGAGACTTCACTATGTGAGTACAGATAAATTGGTGGGCTTTCTTTGAGGGCATGATTAATTCTGATATTTATGTGAAGGAGATGCGTCACCCAGTTTTCAAGCAACTATCAGATAAAAAAGAATGCGTTCAACAACACTTATACATAAAAGTACGGTGATATGTGGCCACATTGACTGCCCCCCCCCAAAGAACTAATTATATAATTCAGTGCTGCATTCCAGAGTTATTCTTCCTTGGTCTGAAACACTTCTAGCATTGTATTCCAAATACTGATGCATCTCATTTCCTGTGCAAACTCATCAGGTCTAAATTTCTCTCCAAGAATTTGAATAAGTAATTTTTTCATGAATATGATAAATGCACCATAAATATAGCAATCCTTTACTAGCTGCAAGGGTTTCATTCCTGAAAATCCCTGCACTTGGCAAACCCAGGGCCTTAATGGAAAATTGGAGTAGGTGATGACATCAAACACAGCATAAGTTGGCTTGTTTCTTCACACACAAAAAAAAAACAAACCCATGTGCGCACGCGCACACAAAGAAATCCTCTCCCTCTCTCTCATATGAGTAACAAGTATAGCAATACAATAGGCGCTCATTATTTTGATCGTGTTTGTACGAGGGTCAGTTAAAAGTTCCCGGAATCGTGGTATAGCACTCTAATGGTAGGACATATGGCAACACTTACCTAATTACCTTCAAGTAGGACTCTTGCGCTCATACACACTTGCTCCATCGATCCTGCCATTGTTGGAGGCAGCAGTGGAAGGCTTCTTTTGGAATCTTCCAGAACTCAGCCATCGCATTTGATTTGATGTCCTCCGTGGTTGGGAAACATGTCCCCTTTAAGCCCATTTTCAAAGTAGGGAACAGCCAAAAGTCACTCAGAGCGAGTTCCGGAGAGTACGGTGGTTGAGTGATGACAGGAATGTTTTTCTCGGCGAGGAATTGCTGCACAACAAGTGATGTGTGGCTTGGTGCGTTATCGTGATGCAGAAACCATTGTCCCTGCCACTTGTCGCGCTGCTTCCTCCAAACCTCATCGCACAACCTCTGCAAAACTTGCACGTAGAAATGGCCAGTAATAGTGCCAACTTCTTGCTCCAACTCCACAATGGTCATTCTTCGATCACATCAAATCATTTGTTGCACTTTTCCAATAATTTCTTAGGTTCTGGATGTTGGTCTCCTGCTGCACTGGTCATCCTCTAACGTCTCCTGCCCATTCTTGAACCGGTAAAACCAGTTGTAAACTGCGGATTTCTTTAGTGCAGTATCACTGTAAACTTGATGCAGGGCCAATAGCATCTCTGAAGCAGATTTTCCCAATTTGCACACGAACTTGATGTTTGCACGCTGTTCGAACTGTGACATTGTGTCGAATGATCAACACTCGCGTCTAATTCAAACGGAACAGTAACGACACTGCACACTGAAACCTGTCCAGACCTGTTGCGCTTGCGAGCAGACATGCTGAGCTTCCCATCACAACAGTGTGTGCGCTGTCTTACTGCTCATTCTCCATCTGCAGGGGAATTCCAGGAACTTTTTGACTGACCTACATAAATTGTATTTCAATTCTGTCAACTGAAAATTATTATAATAAAATGGGTTGAAGAAATTTGGTTAGGATTTATCTCGGAAATGATGAGACTGTATAACGTGAATATGTACTAGTGTAAACAAGAAAAATTTTATTACATACCTATATTACATAAAAATATTTTTGCTGGCAAAATAATGAGTAATATTTCTGCTATGCACTGATAACATATTAGTATATTAAAATAAACTCCATGGTTTTAGTCCACAAGCAAACTATATCTACATATCCAGAGGTCCACGTTCGATTCCCGGCGCTACCAGATTTTCTGAGAAGTACTGGGTCTGGAACGGGGTCCACTCAGTCTCGTGAGGGTCATTGAGGAGATATTTCAAGGAAATCATGGCTCTGGTCTAGAGAACCGAAATTAACGGCCGCGGGGATTTGTTGCACTGACCACGCAACACCCTCTATCCGCTAAAGTTGACACTAACTTCGCTGACAAGCAGTGGTAACTCGGTCAGTTACTATGATATTACACTTTATAAAAGGGCTGCTATTTAAGAGCCATTTATTTTAGTGTGCCTTGAACTGTCAATATAGACTCTATTCAGAGTGTTTCCAGCACTATATGTCAAGCACTCTCCTGAGGATGTTTGTAGCTTCACGTTTGCCATTTGTTTCCTGGGATTTGTTCATGTTTATTGTCACTTTTCCTCATCCTTTTTTGGTGGTTAGTGACAGATTAGGCAGTCTTTTCGTATGTTAAGGGTAACTTGTAGGACATGATTCTGTCTACTCATATCATCAGGCTTCCCCCACCAGGTCTGAATCTTGACACCATTTAGCTTCTTCACAGCACTTTCCTGATTTACTAAAACAATTGACAACCAGGTGTCACTGGCTTTATTCTGAGTGCTCACTGTCATGCATCTAGAATCAGAATTTGTTTAACAGTATATGATGTCCCAAAACCATCATTTATGACTGAATGGTTTAATTCTTTGTGCTTTAAGTTCAAGCCTGGATTAGCTAGGCAGTTGTCCCAAACTAGTTATTTTTATTTTTTTCTTTTTCTTGCCCAGTTACCTATCCGAATTACACAGATAATTCTAGACATTGCTATTGAAGAATGTGGTGGTGATAGCATATTCAGCAAGTAGATTTTTAGCTCCTTTGAAACGTTTAGATTTACTTTTACCTGTCACTGAATGCTTCATTTTGACTATCTTATGCAGAAGTGAAGACATTTTTAAAAACCATACAGTGAACTGGTATTGCCCTGTAGTATAGCTTCATGTTGTCCAAATTAAAGATAGCCATCAAACTGAAAGTATTCGGTACAGTTTGCCCATTGTCAGTTGCTGAGCCGTCTGAATCTTGCTTTTTTCCATAAAATTCACATGGGCATGTGCACACACACTTGCGTACACATGAGTTCAGTGCTGTGGCTCTCCTTCCATCGTTTCACCAATCAATTGGTAACTTTAAGCTTTAAATTCTTAAAACTGTAGTTCTACTAATAATAAGCAGCAAACAAAGATGATGAATTTTAACTTGATGACATAATTGATTTCTTCTGCAAAAAATAAATGCAAGAATGATGCATTGTTAACGTGTTATATATTAATAACTTCCTTAATAAGTGTTACTAGATGAAATGGGAAACAGAATAGATGACTTGGAGAAGAATATTGCTGACCTTATGACACAGCCTGGAGTTGAAGGTCCAGACAAATAAGCAACATTTGTGATTGACTTCAGAAACATAACTGACAGAACTGAACTTAAATCATAACATCGTTTCAACAAAAGGAAACATTTTCAAGTGTCTTTTTTTTTTCTAGTAATTTATTTTATACTGTATATTAAAAGTGTAATGAAGGTCACTGTATTTATTGCCTTCAAAGATATTCCACATTAAGAACTGGAACTGATTGAAAATGTAAAGTAAGTCATACACATTTTGTGTACACTGTTACTTTTCTTATAAAGTACTGTATATTTTCCACTTTTAATTATACAAAGTAATATGTAGCAGCTCTTTGCCATGTTAACAAAACACTTCTTTCCACCAAGAGTCTGCTGGAAAATTCAACTGGCCAACAAATGTGCATAAGACATAAAGTAGTGGACACAGTTTAGTCATTGAAGCACACATTTTTATATGGGAAAATGAATGTACTTGAAGATGTAATATTCCTGAACATTGCACAGATGTTATGTACGTTTTCAATTATGCCATAAGTCCTACTGTATGATTAGTGCTTAGAATTAGAATTTGTATACACTTTTGTGTGAACTGAGAATGTTGTAATGCACAAACAAATTATTATTACTGACAGTAGTGTTAGATTAGATACACCATAGGTCTCAAATGAAGATAACTTTTACTGTCAGTGCTGTATAATTTGATGCTTTAATTAAAAATATATTTTTAATTTGTAGACCTCTTTTTCATCTAATGGTAAAGAGTGTCATAATTATTAGATTTGCATTCAGGATAATATAACCTGATTTCAAAACAGTATGTCAGCAAATATCCATATATATGAAGCTCGTTCAAACGAAACCTGTTTAGAGAACGTTTTGGGCAAAGGAGAAGAAACTGGGCATTGAGGCCAGGCATCACATTGATGCACCAGCCTATACATCCCCTCTGCAAAGAAAGTTTTGTTTGATATATGCTTATGCCATGTAAAATCATTGGTCACCATTTGTCCAAGCTAGTAAAAGAAATACTTTGATTTTTTAATACCCTTTGTAATACTATGGAATGGTTCTGATGTGCTTGTTTTAAAAGTGTTTGCCTACACAAGAATGCTAACATGAATATTTTGGATATCTGTTATTCATATTGTCAAAGACGCCCTTAATTAAAGTATGGCTGATTGGAACATGCATCTCTGATTTGAGTCAATATACAGCTTTCTGTGCGATTCTGTGATGCAAGACATTCTCGTTTTCTATACATTATCGTCTAAAGTATGTAGTATTCATTGCAGTTCTTTAGTTCTCTGTGTATAGGACTTTCTCACATGCTTCGTGAATGCTAAGAAATGTGGAAATAAATATATAGTTCTTGTAGAACAAGAATCCTCTACTATTAAAGGTAGAAATTAGAAAGAGGTTTCTGTATTTGTGAAATTTTCAATTTCCTCTCCTTTAGTCTTCAGTACTTTTGAAAACCAGTATATATTTGTAAAGATAAATGCTTTGGCTAACAATTATTTCAGTACTTGTACAGATTACTTCTATGATTAAGTGGTACTACATAGTTGAGTGCTGAAAAATTGTTTCTGGGATGGAAATTTAAGCCATTCCAACAACTATGTTGGCTGTGCAGATAGTGTAGACATAACTTGAAGCTCTGAAAATCCTTCAGAAACTATGAATCATCCAAGCTGTTACCTTGATGTTTGTTAATTGAATAATTTCATTGTAATGCTGGCTAAACATGGAAACTGTCGTGTTCTGGTTCAGTTATTTACAAAGACTGAAAATGTTACACTTCAGTTTGAACCATCACATCTTATAAAAATCCTAACAGTAATGTTTTGAGTGATATACACAGAGAAACATATTTTATATTTAAGTGCAGTATTTGTGACATTCTTTTACAAAATACAATGCACTGTTAATCCACATCTCATAAACGTACAAAGTGTATTGTTTTTATTATGTAAATAAACTTTGCATATATGAATAATTTATTTACTNCGTACCATTCACTGCTCAAATTCTAAACAAACTGCTTCCATTGCCGAGATACCGGCTGCTCATATTATAAGGTAAGGTTATAAAACCACCTTTTTAGATCATTTTAGTAAAAGTTTCATGTTCCTATCTCATAGAATTTAAGAACAATGATGAATAAATCATTTTCGAGCAAAATTTAAATGGCCGGCTGAATATATTACCGCAGGAGACGCGGCCGCGGAATTTAAATGACCACGTCAAAGGGTTAATAAATAACTGTGATGTCAGACAACCATTTTTCTTTATTCCACACTGGGTATTGTGTCTTCACCCTCTTGCAGAAATCAGTTCCATCACATAATAAAGGTGAACTTGTTTTGGTAAGTCTGCACCCAGCAGCTAGGCCTCAGCATACAGTTGTGTTTGTTGCAGATTCTGACATATGTGTGATATGGAACACAATATGTGGTTTTTATGTTCATGAAAAAGAATACAGGTGATGTCAGAACTTCAGTCATATACTCATGACATGGTGATAGAATGGTACACTGTGAACATGATATTATGACATGACTACTAAAACATTGTCCATTACATGGGAATGGCTCGATTAACAAGTGAGTCATTGTTAGACAGTGGCTTGCCAACTTGTCAGCAACAATGAAGGAAATCTTGGGAATGGTGTTTTCTGTGCAGTCTAACCTGACTTTTGGCAACTTAGTTGTGCCCATGAGTAGTTGCGAGTCATTTGCCAGCTGGTAAGGACATGAGTATGGGAGCTGGGAAATTACATTGTTGGGAGCAATTACCAGGCAACAACTAGTGAAGACACAGAAGACTTTATATATGTGCTGCAGTACAATGATTTGTAGAGTATGTAGATCTGTGAAACTGTTATAAGTTACCTGTAGTTACAAGTTAAAAAGAGTCCAACAAATCCAGTTACCAATCCAAACCCAATGTCTAGTCAGTAACACATGACAGTATGCTTAAATGTCATTCCCATGAGCACTGTAAGATCACAAATGTTTATTCATTGAAACAGAAGTCTGATGTAATGAAAATTAATGAACTGCATTAAAAATTCTGCAGGCTTATACGTAAATTATTAACAGTTTAGTAATTTTGATCTCCACAAGTCATGAGTCCTACAAATGCAAACTGAACACACTCTTCACCTTGAACAGGCACAAGTACATCTCTTGCCTGTGTGTTGTGATTCTCCATTACTAAACTGTTTATTGCATTATCCAGCTTAAGTTCATAATAAACTTGCATATTACAGTACATTTTGACTGAGGGCCCTCAAGCTCTACTGGTTACATTGTAAAGTGAATGCCATATCACTGTTCATGACTGATCCTATACATAGTTAAAATGCTTTCTAAACAAACAAATAAGAATGTTTAGTCACGTTATGTCTTTCTAATATTACTAAAATATACTAAAACACACATTCAAAATTGTTCAGATCTATAATACAGATTTACTATATTACACCATCATAACATGAAAACCAGTGTTGTACATATAAACTTTATTCAAATTACATACAATATACACAAACTTCTTGAACATAGGTTCAAAATGTTTAGCTATGTTCAATCATCATCTGGACACATACATACAAATATATGCCTCTTCACAAGCTATTATTACTACCACTAATACATCATTTATATTTTGGTAAAACTGATGTTATAAATTAAAATTAAAAATATGTGTGTTGCAGAATAATACCACAACATGACACTTTTATAATAAGTTTAACCTGGTTAGCTTTAATATATTGTAATGACTACTACAACCGACCATACATTAAAGCTTAGGAAAAATACATTGTGATGATGACATCCATATCCATATGCAGAATTTTCAGCACTCAATGAAGTAGTTATGAGACAAGATATTCATTGTCTTTTCATAAGTCCCATGGTGTTGAGCACAAGAGTTTTAATATTTAGAGCTTTGAAACCTCCAGAATAAGACTATAGCTGTGTACTGAGAATGGAAAGCAGAACAGAGGCTGCAAATGAAGACAGACAGAGAGACATTCAAGAATAAAATGGGACATGTTGTCGCTATGTTGTAGCCAAACTGCTACAACATAGCAACAATATCAATGCAGGGAGCAGCCCATATACATATCATTGTAAGAAAATCTAATATACATCACTCCAAATAAACAACCTATTGGGTGACATACAGAATAACGAGCATAAGCTCCGCAAGATGATAGTAGGTCAAGACCACACAACCTAACTTATGTAAGAAGATCCCGATACACAGGCACCCCACACTATAGTTGCTTCTACCACTAGAAAACCACGTCAACACGTAGCAGTCACAAAGTTTTCAAGAGACTTATCGCAAAATACTTCATTTCCATTGTAGGACAATTTTAATTTTTATGTTTTAATCTTTAGTCCATAATTTTTTATTTTTATTATCTGAGTACTTAAAATTTTAACCAAAAGACTCAATTTATCCATTTAAGAACTCTCAAGCGCACAATAAGGATCCTTATTGAAGAATAAGGTGTAAATTGTTAGAAGCAATTCAACAACTGAGTCTGGTATCACTGTATGCCTGATGATGACCCAGTACAAGGGTCAAAACATGTAGTGTCAATAGAAACAGATGTTGATATGATAGTGTCTATTTTGTTTTAATTACAGAATAATATTGTGTAGACTGCATACTTTTGTATACATTTTATGTGCCCTGTTTTTGACACAACAGGATGATTAATATTAAGAGTGTTACAGACATGTTAAACTAAGACAATATATAAATAAAAAACAAAATTATTTAGAGATGTCAGTGAAACTCCTAGAACTACACAAAATATGATACCCAGCATAAAGGATGTGATGAAAAATGCACAATTACTCTTAAAAATTTAGTTCATATGGTTTCTTACATGTCTCCGTTCTTCTTCTTCAGAGGCAAGTGATGAAGATTCATCCTCTAGGTAATCTTTTGCATGCACTGAATCCACAGAGTCCTCTAAACCAGTTTTGATGGATTCCTACAAGGGGGAAAAAAGTTTTCAATCAATCACGTCCTCACAGTAAAGTAAAAAACAAAGTACTTACTTCATGTCTGTCCTCTCTGAGCAGATAATAATTATTCACCCTATTAGTTAATCCCTTGTAACTGAACAAAAAGTCCATAACCATCACCACAAAAGCCTTCTACTGGACCCATATCAGGTACACATCACTTCAACTGACATCTTCACAACCAAGTCTAAAGCCCATTTAATATCATTCTTCCATGTGTGCTTACACTTCCCAAGACATTTTTCAGACAAGATTTTCTAAAATTGAAGACTTTAAAATGATATAAATTTTGTATTTGAAGCTTTAAATAGATGGTTCAAAGCCAATAAACTCTCACTAAATTTTGATAAAACCCATTACATACCATTCTTAACTAAAAACAGCCACCAAATTGATCTGGTCATCAGTTATGCCAACAAATTAATCTGTAAAGCACCTGATACAAAATGCCTTGGAATACATGCAGACGGGACACTGTCTTGGAAAATACATATAGAACAAACTATACCTAAATTAAGTGCAGCTTGCTATGCAATGAGATCGATTAAGCCCTTTATGCCACAGGAAACACTGAAGATGGTTTACCATGCCTACTTTCATTCTATTATGAACTATGGATTAATATTCTGGGGGAACTCTTCACATAGTGTAAAAATTTTTAAGATACAAAAGAATATAATTAGAATCATTACAGGAAGTAGAAGTAGAGATTCATGTAGAGATTTATTTAAGAAATTAAAAATTCTCCCTCTTCAATCACAATACATACTATTGCTTCTTTTATTTGTTGTGTACAACAAAAATAAATCTGAATTAAATTCCAATATCCATAACATGAATACTAGACAAAAATATAACTTCCATCTACCTTCATCAAACTTATCACTATATCAAAAAGGAGTCTACTTTTCTGGCATAAAAGTGTACAATAGTCTCCCACAAAGTATCAAAAACTTGAGTAATGATACTAAACATTTTAAATCAGAGCTAAAGAAATATCTGCATGCTCATTCCTTCTACTCTGTAGACAAATACCTCAATGTAAATAGAGAATAATGTAGAATTCAGCTATATTAGTTTAAGATAAAATTACTTGTACCAGTAGGTATTATTTTGACTTGTTCTATATCCAGAGGTATTAACCTACTTAGGGTCTATGGAATGCAAATAAATTCAATTCAATTCAATTCTAACAAAGCTTCTTAGTCATTTCTTGTTTGCTCCATGCATATGTTCTCTGATCTCACCCTCATTCTGATTTGATCCCATGACCTTCTGACTTGCAGCATAGTAGCTCAACCAACTACACTACCATGTGCCCCCTTTGTTTCATGAAACATTTGAAATTCAAGACAAAAATTAGACAAGTTGTTGGGGAACACCATTTTCTCTGAGGCACACAGTGTAGTTGGTTCGGGTACTATGCTACAAGCCAGAAGGTCACAGGTTCGATTCCTGATGGAGTCACTGGATATTTCAACTGACCTAATCCTTTCAACCACACTAGGACCCTGGAGTAAACTCAGCCTCTAACAGAAATGAGTACCAGGAATCTTCTTGGGAGTAAAGGACAGTTGGCATGTAAGGCTGACAACCTCACTGCCATCTGTGAGCCGACCGTCTAGAAAATGGGAGCTTTGATGTCTCACAACCCTATGGGCCTCCATGGCCTGTTACAGGGATATCTTTACCTTTTTTACCTTACCACTTTCTCTACATGCAAATGGCATAGAAATATTAACTTTTTTCTTCCATCTTTTCTAGTCTGTGCTCCACTCTTGTGGTAAAACTAAATGGTAACAATTTCCTACATAGAATGGCATGTGCATTTTTCAGTGGTTCAGAATTTTTACAGTGTACTTCATTAAATAAATATTATCTTGAAATAATTTTTAAATAANTACACGCGTGGAATCCGCGACATCATATGATGACGTTCGGCCAGCTGCCCTTACTTTTAACGACATCATATGATGACGTTCGTCCGATAAAGGTTAAACTACATCNACCCTATGGGCCTCCATGGCCTGTTACAGGGATATCTTTACCTTTTTTACCTTACCACTTTCTCTACATGCAAATGGCATAGAAATATTAACTTTTTTCTTCCATCTTTTCTAGTCTGTGCTCCACTCTTGTGGTAAAACTAAATGGTAACAATTTCCTACATAGAATGGCATGTGCATTTTTCAGTGGTTCAGAATTTTTACAGTGTACTTCATTAAATAAATATTATCTTGAAATAATTTTTAAATAATAGTTTCTGAACTTGATGTGCGAGGATGTCCAGTAAGACTTGTAAAATGTAATCCATTCAGAGATATTACAAATAAATTTTAGCTTCCAATCAGAGACAATAAGATTAAGAGAATTTCCATTTAAACTAGATATTCACTGTTAAAATTCTACTTCATAACTGAAATTACTATCAAGCAGAAGAATAACCCACCACTGTATCACTAGTGGCTGCAATTCTGGAAGGTAAGTGACAGGTTCCTTCACTTGGTTTTCTAAAACTAGGGGGCACAGCAAATAAATTAGCAAGTGAGAAGGAGCTGTTCCGAAATGATGTTCGTTTCACTGTGTCCAGGCGAGACAATGAATCAGGAACTCTCAGAGCATTCCGGAACTCCTGAAAACGAAGTCATAAGTGGCTATTAATTTTTATACAAGCTTCACAGACAAATGTAGTGCATGAAATTTAGCATTACTGTGAACATCAACATAACCTCTCTTGAAATATATTATGAACCTATGTTAGAAATAAGAACTATTTTCAAGTTAATCTTAAATTTTCTATTTAATTGACATTATATCATTGTATGAATTAATTATACAGTTTTACCATGGAGACATTATATGATGCAGAAATAAGATACATGCCAGCACCCATGCTTTTTGGAATTTAAGCACAAACAATGTGCCTGCACTCAGATTTCAAATTATAAGCTAAATTAAAACCATATTCACATATTCTTTGTTATTTAAATAAATATCACATATGGGAAGAAACACAGAACTTCCCATCAGGATATCTAGAAGCTGTGTTGAAATCTTTTACGTTATATTGAATAGAAAAGTGCTTCTAAATTTACATTAAACGTACTTCATTCATTCATTGCTCTTCTAAAATTCAAATCTGTAGAACAGATTTTACATCTTTCTTATTATAAAATGCATCAGTGATGGAGGGCAAACCTCTTACTGAGGTTACTGTAATTTCTCTCTGTTCTGTATTTTGTGAAATATATTGTGAACAGCTTCATATCGTGAGGCAGTAAGTGGCTGGATGACCAGAGTTTGACCCTTACCAGAATCATGGAGTTTTCTCATCACCACCATGTTCAGACCAGTTCTTGAGTCCATCCAGCCTTCCAGCCACTGTCATTCTGTCAGGGTTAAAGTGGCCATAGCATAAAAAGGTCCACTCACCTCTGAGTTCCCTATATGCCTTCATGACACAGTGCTCATGCAAAGGGACAACTTTATGTTTACCTGCACAGTTTGGTACGGAGACTAGTGCACATCATAATCTTAGCCATTCTATTATTATGACTACAGATTAGAATTTTGGAAAGATTTACATGGTCCTGCACGAATGCACATTTATGCTCACACCACTATATATCACAATTTTGAAACAATCAAGAGTCAATGTAATAAAATAATTCACAATTCTAGATGCCGCACACGGTAGCGTAGTTGGTTGAGGGGCTATGCTACAAGCCGCAAGGTCGTGGGTTCAAGTCCTGATGAGGTCATTCGATGTTTTTCAATTGACCTAATCCTTCCAGCTGCACTATGGCCCTGGGGTTCACTCAGCCTCTAACAGAAATGAGTACCAGGAATTAATTAAATAATTTTCCCGAGGAGTAAAGCGCAGCCTGACTGAAGTATTTCATGATTTCTTTCCATCCCTTTACATGTGTGCTGGAATACTATCTCAGCTAGGCCAAGACCACCCTACCATGGAATGTTATATAGTTTGAGAACCTCAGAGTGTTATACAAAGCCACACACTATTAACCCGCTAGCATACTTTGATAACTGTGGCCATGTGATCTTTTGTGGCATTAATTACTTCTTTTTGTCTGTGACATGTCACTGGATGAAAGTTAAAAAGATTCCTTATTGGACAAAACATGTAGAATACCCATGCAGAAGTTTTGTGACAAATTTTAGTTATTTACTTTTAAAATTGTTTTAATTAATTCCATATGTGCATTTCACACGGACAAAATCACATACTACAACAAGGGGTTAAAAATAACTGTAACGTTACCTATGTAATCTACCAGTTACAAATTACAACCTCAGTAAAGTGATGTATCAGCTAAACATATAAGTATATTAAACATATATGTGCAATAAACTAGTCTTAGATGTGAAAAAAATATCACATCTACTGTGACAAAGCTTCACACTTTCTTCTGCCAATCACAGATGACAAACAGAGAAAACATCAAGCACAGGAAGACAGAAATACATGCAAAATACTCAAGATGCACACATGGACACAAGTAATTTAAACGATTTCATTCATATAATTATGTGCAAACTGACTGAAATTAAATCTTTCTTTACCCCATCCAAACTTCCTCTTATCTGCTGAAAGTCCTGTAACATGTTCAAAACTAACATTTCAGTGTAGTTCTATGGAAATACAGTAATTCCTCACCAACCATAGAGTTTATTTTATATTCCCTGCAAACACTGTGGTTGGCAAGACAAGTCCTTGAGGTATATTGGGGATTAGAACAACCACAGCCATTATTAACACTCATCAAAGCCTAACTCAGTCACCTGTTTCCTCACCAATACTCAAGACCAGAAAAGGTACTGTCCATAATATAGGACACACTGTAAGATTGTCAGTACTGGCAGACAGCACAGAACTGATTACAAATACAGGTATAAGGGGGAAATTTTAATGAACAGTCACCATTTGGAACATATAACCTTCATAAAATTCATTGAGATTTACTGTAATGTGATCAAAGAAACATGTTTAAGCATATATATCTGATTTACAATGTTAGATTAGTATTCAAAATTAACATTGCATCCTTGTATTTAAAGGGTAGCAAACAATAAAATAACATACTGTACCTCTAAATCCTCATTTTCATCTATATCTGCTATTTCCTGGTAGGCCTTAGTGAAGAACTCAATTGCCTTTGTGTGAAAACCAAGCTCAATAGTAACAAAAGTTAGGAATAAAGACTTTATGTCATGCAACTTCTTCTTCTCAAACATATCAATCTGCTCTTCAAGGGCTTTCACAGTCCGAGAGACATTAGCACTTGCTTTCAGTAATTCTGTCTCAGCAAGAGACTTAGACTTAGTTAAGGACTATTAATGAGCAACAGTTTGATATAACACAAGTTTTCATATGTTAGCACATTTTAACATTCACCTCTGTTAATGAAGAGAGCTGTTATGAAAGACAACTATTATTTACACCATACATGGCAGCTGTATTAAGAATGAATACATAATGATTAGTGATTAATTAATGAAGCTGCCATATGAAGACCTCAATTCGGTTCCAAATGACTGTGTTTCTGAAGAAACACATTACTGAGTCAATTCAATTAAGCAGTTTAGCACAGTCACAATTATATGCTACATTATATCTTGTTGGATTTGTTGCCCTCACATGGAAGAGTGCAGTCTTTTGGGTTTAATGCCATGAGATGGAAGTGACATGTTCCCCAAAAAACTGGACTTTCTCCAGACTACACAGAATTACAACCCAGAGGACCATACCCTGCTTCCTGTCTGATTTTGTGATTAACTGTTGTCATTCATTCATTCATTTCCTTTATTTTCCATATATCCATATAGGTAAGAAACCCAAGATGTGGAAATAGTCTCTTTGAAAATAGATATATCAAGATACATATACAAAATTATGAGTCACATAATTAAAATCACTTACATTAATCGATTAACACAAATAATAATATAAAGTAAAAAATTTAATAAGATTTTATTTAATAAACATAATTTAAAAATAACTTACTATAAAACTTGAATTAATATAATTTTATTTA